GACTCAAACAGGTGCATGATCTGCCTGGGACTGAAGAAACGTGGCTACGATCCGTGATCTCCATCCTCATGGGTCTTCTCAAACGGGATTGGTCGTCTGTGATATCTAATTGGCCGCTGGAAGACTGGTCAACTGCGGTTGCACTATTAGTCAATTATGTTTGGGTTTCGGATAGTGCTTTGTTCCGTCGATTTTGCGGTAAGTCGGATACATTTTCCGGTTATCAGCATCGGATAGCTTATGCGCTTAGTTTCTTTTTACATTTCCATTGTTGTATCCATTTTGGGTGCAAATTTGACGCTACGCGCCCGGGAACCCATTAGATGAGCACCTAAAAGATATAGCCCTAGATGCCAGCTGGTTTCTCAGCGCTGATACCAATAAGGTGAAGGTATAAGGGCTGTGAGTTCAGAGTTTCTTTACCGGATGTTTGACTGTTTCTTATAGGATGCTAGTTTGGGTAGTAAAAATAGAGAAGCCGTGAATCGCCTGACCATCCTTGGTTGTCACGAACAATTCTCAATTTATTTGGTCTACCATACACTCGAGAAGGACTAGACCCAAGTTCCACTCTGGTTAAAGGTTATTAGTACTGCCTATCCATAACGTGAACTTCGAGTCCTTCTCATTGAATATGTGTTACCACTGTGGCAGAAATCCCAATCCAAAGTTGCCCACCAGAGTCCTGTGAAGTGTAGATCACATATACATTGTGGGCCACAAATATACTACTTCACTGACGGTGCATCGAAGCACTATGTCTCAATACTCTTAATTTTATTTGTGCTGGTGTCCACATTTTGGAGCGTTGCGAATCGCCGAGGAACATAAAAGGTGACTTATTTTCAAATTTGCTATATCCCAGTTGAATATGCGCCCTAACTGCGTTTTTAGTTAATCAAATAGAAAAAAATACATTCTCTTACAAACCGCATACTTTTGGGATGGTATGCCGATAATCATTTGGACGAGAGGACCTAAAACAAACTACCATCATTTTCGTTCGGCACTATTGTTTCGAATTTATTCGCTTCACTCAATATTTGCATTATGATTGCTCATTTGAGGATTGGACCAATGCACACCGCCAACATTAGCGACCGCGTTTTCTCCTTTTGTCAGGTGTTTTAATAAATCGTCTCCTGGATCCGTTGTCCGAATGTTCACTGACCGCTGAAGAACAAGGAGCCGCGGCATGGGCTTGTTCAGTCATTTCGACCGACCTGAACGGTATGGTTCGAGCTTGGTGCCGACTGTGCGATGTGAAGGGCACCGAACAACGTGGTGAAACCCTCCTGGTACGTAACTATTCTGTTCTCCTTATTTCCAATACCTGTGTGTGCATGCGGTCGTTGTGGAGGGGAGGGGTTACTAAACCCGAATCGGTGTGAATTAGGCATATGCTTGTACAACCCGGGGTTGGAATCAGAATACAAGTCTAGTTGAATTTCAACTGGAAGTTAGCGCTGAAATGTGAGCAGAATCAACCCAGTGCATATACAGCTGATCCTCTTCCAGGGTACAACCGATAGCCAGTTGATCGAATGCATTTCCCGTCTAATATGATTTGCCACTCCAAGTACCAGTGACTAAGTTGCTTTTTATCAAAGTGTTCAATGACTGTGGGATCCAGCCCTTCTGATGTTCATCACCGAACGATATCAAGTTAAAAATTTGCTTTATTACACCATATGGTGCAAATTCAGATGCACAATACCACCCAAAAATGAAGATATGTACAAATACACTAGGTTTTCAGAGTTCACTCAAACCATATACGGTCCGGGTGGTATAAAAAGGGAGCAAGGTAAGGAACTGTGGAAGAGTAGTGCGCTTTTGTGCTTGCTTGAACGTGTTTGTGCAACGGGGGGGGGGATCGCAATGCTTTTAAATTATGCGAGATCAAGAGGGTGATAGGAGTCAGACAGTATTTTGTGATCCAGTTTATCTCTCCGCACAGATTAATCTCTGAGTGATCTGGACACCACTTATATGATAAACCAGGAAAATAGCTCAGA